ACTATGGTATGGTATCCAGGGCAACGAGACCGCCACCTGCGGTTTTGGTTGCTGACCTGAAATGCCCAAGATACAAGGGGCTGTTTCAGGCAATAAGTTCATGCAGGAAACAAATGGCAAGGAGAAAAGAGTAAACGAAGAACAATTCAGAAGCAGCACGCTTTTGGTGCCTGAATTCCATGCCACCTGCAAGAGGCCCGATGACTGAGACAGTGCTGGAATCTCGGCAAGAACAGCCAAGGTGTATTCCACGTAGGAACCGCTGAGCTATCTAGAGTTCATGTCATTTGGGTTGAATAACATTCTCTTTTGAACAGATGTTAGACACTACTCATAAGGTCGCTTAAAACTCTGGCAGTTCACGACCGTCTTCGCCGTTCTTCATGAGTTAGGCGCAGTCCCCGAGTTTCCGTCAACCTTATGTTCTATTTGAATCCAAATTGGACGAAATCCGACGAATACACCTGTTTTCACTGGACACTCAACGAAATCCAGCTGAATCTCTCGCCTATGGTAGTCATCACGCCACATCATGTTTCGGTTGGTGCGATATCCGGATATCGTAGTCAAATTTTCGGACCTAAATGCTATGTAGCTAAGTGTATTTCATCGCTCGCTTATAAGTTTGATCCAGTTAGAGCATAAGATTGACGGATTTGGGGAGTGCGCCTGCCTGACGAGTTCCATGAAAGGCAAGATCGGTCGGGGGCCGTCGACGAGTCTTCAACAACCGCCAAGTCTAGTCGGCCTTGTCTAGGACATTCATTTGAAAGAGGCCATCATGAACGACGGAATTAGCTGGATTCCACTGAGTGACCGGTTGAAACCAAACTGGCCGACTCCTTTACAATTTACTGAAAGGCTATTTCAGCACACCTAGACAAGGGGAACTCTCGAGATGAAATCACACACAGTAGTTCTTGTATTGCAGAAGTGGACTTCAAAGCAAACTTGAAGATATACTTGACCACTGTCTAATTTATTGAAGAGACTCTGGAGTAATTAGAAGCTTGTGCAACTGATCGTACTGACATCGCACTGTTTTCAACCAATAGAGGAGGGAGTCAACTACAGTCGGAGATTGGTTATTTGAAAAAAATATCGTAGTATTTGGGGATGCGACATAAATTTTGCCTGCCCAATAAAGCAGTCATGTAAGAAGTATATATATATACATATATATCGTGTCCAGCTGTATCACCCTCTTGGTGCCCAAACTGTCATGCGCCAGAAGGAGGCACAATGACTGGACTATTGCCAGGTTGCCCAAACCTAGACAGGGGAAGTCGAGAGGCAGAGGTCGGGTTCGAACCACGGACCTTTCGGTCAGTAAATTTGCGCTCTAACCACTTGGTCCATCTCGTCCCAAAAGGCGGGTATTAGGTCTTCACCTCTGCCACATTATCTAAATTCACGGGCCTTAGTCTGTACTAGCTTTCTGCAGCTCCCTTCCCCGCCCAGTGTTTTCCCCAAACTTTCGCCTTGTTTCGAAAACTGATCATCACTTGCGACCAAAGCCGTGGTGCACTGATGATCTCGTATCTGTGTGAACAACTCCGATCTAAATCACGTGCACTAAAATTCGCATCAATAATTTCGCGTGAACGCTTTCAACCTGCTGAGACAACGATAGACTTCCTCATAAAGGGAACTACTCACAAGGTTGCTGAAAACTCTTCGACAACCCACGACCGGTTTCGTCCTTCTTGGGGCTCATCAGGTAAGCACAGTCCCCGAGTTTCCGTCAACCTTATGTCGCACATGAACCCAAATTGCGTGAAATCTGACTGATACTTTCATCTACATACCCACTTAGTTTTGTCGACTGGCTCACCTGTGCGCAGCAAATTCAGTTGTGGAATATTACAAACGAGAGATTAAGTTGAGTCTCTTGTGAAAACCAAATTGATTTGCAAATGAGTGTATTTCTTGATAGACCTCCTCATTTATTGTGAGTAGTATGAGGCACAGAACGTCTCCAGTACAATCAAAATTGCTCTCTTTGAACGTCCAAATCGAGTCTTAAGACCACTCAGCGTGGACCTAGTGTCAGTCCTTCAAAGCCTGGGAGTCGTCTTCGGAAGGATGCCCTCTTCCAAAGAGTATTGCAGTCAGCAGCTCGGGGGGGGAGGCGTGGATGTTGTTCAAAGGTGTTGACGAGTCACAATTTCGATGCACACAAACGACCTGGAGTTGAACACTCTATGGACTGTGCTTTTCAGCAGCCAGTTTCAAAAATATGCAAGACACCGCCCTCTCCTCCCGTTTTGGGACGCGCCTTCGGCGGTACGTAAGTGCACCGCCTATCCGCGTGCGTGTCACCATGTATATTGCATCAGAAGCGTGTCTAATCGCCCATTAGACGCACTTGACACAGCGGGGAGCAGCGGATCCCTGTGTGCGCGCGCGTGTTTCACTTTGTGTGTGTTGATTTTCTGACCAGCCCAGCTGGCCAACATCCGGATGGTTTAATCCAACTTTCATCTTTACATACACGCAACACTTTTCAGCTCCTCATCACAATAGACGCACACAGAACAAAGCCGAAGGGCACGAAGGCGACAGTGTTGATCTGCTGCTTTTCAGTGTAAACCCCTGAGGGAGCAAATTTTTTTCCAATGAAACAATGATGTTGCGAGAAATGTAGCACTTATTTTAAACTCGTTTCAGATGGAAATTTTAGCCTGAGAACAGGAGAACCACTACTGAGGGTGACTTTATGTTAGAGACTCTTCCCTCACATATTAAATTGTCAACCGTTGATGTCAGCACGAATTGACTGTCACGTGACCAGCCGAGTGAGCAAACGTCAGCCAGGCTTGAGATCAAACTGGTCAATCTATTGGCCATCACAGAGGGAGTTTTGAAGCCGAATCGATTTGGTGTCGGTTGCTTTAAGTCTGTGAGCACTGCTCAGATTACTAATCGACAACACTAGATACACCGTATATTGCAGCTGTCTGACAGTCTAAAAGAGAGCTTATTCTTGGCGAATATACATTCATTTGCAAACTAATTTGATTTTTCCAGGGACTCACCTGGGACCATCACAAACGAGAGATTCAGGTGGGTTCTCAGATGAGTCTCCCGAAAAATGGGTGTATATTCGCTAATTTCGTGCAAGTTGGTTGACGGAAAGCTGGGGACTGCGCCTACCTGATGGCCCCCAAAAAGGTGAAACCGGTCGTGGGCTGTCAACGGATTTTCAGCAACCTTATGAGTAGTACATTACAAATGTAGAGTTTATTCTTCCCTTGCTAGATCACCCCGTTTTGAAATTCGATCAGCGAGATCCGATTACAAATGTTCGAGAAAGCTTACAGTTATAATCCACTGGGGACACTAACGGAAAGGTCACTCTCCAGTAGAGTCTTCAGCAGGCTTTCCCACCCCTTCCGATTCACAATCACGATAGCTCCTATGGCCGGAGTTCCTAATCCCCCTTGAGAGTTCATGACGTCCCCACACAAGGACCGGTTTTTATCACGAAAAAAAGCCGTGATCCACGGGAGACTTCGTCCAAACCAGAACCATGCAGAAATGTTAAACGACGCAAGGTTGTTTGATTTTCAAACTGTTCGAAATATGGCTAAACCTTTTTCCAACTAATTGAGCTTAATTCCAGTCTTGTATATTAGCCGCTACCAAGCTTCAGCTCGCCCCTGACGTCGTGAACAGAATACCTCCAGTTTGAGCTCATTACATCGAAACAAAACATCATCAATGGACCTTGCTGAAAAGTGGTCTTGAACACGAGTTTTAAAAAATGCTTTCTGAAAGTGGCAGCAAGCTCACCACTTACGAACCATGTTTTGTAGAGTTACGAAACACGTGGAGAGGGAACTGGTTGAGATCAAGCTAGGACAGCACGAAGAACTGTAGTGATTTTTACTGCATCCACGAGAGTTGCTCGCGAGAGATTCTGTAGGAAGTCTATCGTGAGTGGTGAAGATTTCAGCTATCTTAACTTGACAAGCTTTTTTTGCCGCCCTAGCGACCTTGGTTTGACTCTTTGAGGTGCCCTCTCAATAGGGATGCGCTGTCAGTAGCTGTCAGTAGAATTCTACCGTGCTATGAGGGTACCGATTATCAGTTATCCGAATTCCACTCTTTAGCACCACATTGTGGTCACAAATCCTGCAACCTTGAAACTATTTAAACCTAGGAAGGATGCTGATTCTTATGCGCCAACTAAGTTTAGGATGATGTTGAATGTTCTCACAAGACATTGAGGGTATTTTTCACTAGTCTGTATCGATTTCAGAACGCAATACTGCTTACGCAGGTGAACGGGGCCTCAAATAAAAGAGCCTCAAAAAAGCGACTGAAAATTCTGATGGTGGGATACCGTTTCAAACTACTAACTAGTTTGAATGACATGCCTTGAAGCAGCGGTCAGCAACTGCGTTTGCATCTAGAGTTGTTCAGCATGATTCGCGATTGGTTGGTTAGCTCCAGTCTCATGCACTTCGTCAGAACGAGTACACCGCTGTCAACATTGCCAAACTGATGATGATGATTCGGATGATGATGATTCGGATGATTNTGTGATGATGATGATAATGATGATGGTGATTATGTGTGATGGTGAGGATGATTGTGATGATGTTGATGATGATGATGATTGTGATGATGGTGATAATGATGATTGTGATGATGAGGATGATTGTGATGATGACGGTGATGATGATTATGATGTTTCGGATGATGATAATGATGATGATGTTGATGATGGTTTTGATGTTTTTGATGATGGTGATAATGATGATGATGATGATGATGTTGTTGATGATGATGATGATGATGATGTTGATGATAGTCTTGGTCATACATAACCCTAGGCGAGAAATGTTGGGGGTAATCCATTGATCAAACATTGGTTCCTTCGCTTCACATGGCAATGTAACCAACAGCAAAACAACCAATTTTCATGCTTTTGAGTTATCAATTTACACGCCTTCTCCGATGTTTTTCGTTCGTGTTCCCTGTTTTTTTTTTAGGTTATTCGGAGTTGCAAGTCGTAGCATAACCTGCGCTGTTTGCAACATTCCAATCGGCCCACAGGAGTTGATCATCCGCTCACAGTCGTCCGTGTTCCATTACGTATGCTTCAACTGTCGCCAGTGCAATCGGGCCCTTCAGCCTGGTGATCGATACGCATTGATCGACGGTCAGCCGGTCTGTCACGCGGACTTGCTGAACGTGATGGAACAACGAGACGGGTGATGATGATGATGATGATGATGATGATGATGTTGATGATAGTCTTGGTCATACATAACCCTAGGCGAGAAATGTTGGGGGTAATCCATTGATCAAACATTGGTTCCTTCGCTTCACATGGCAATGTAACCAACAGCAAAACAACCAATTTTCATGCTTTTGAGTTATCAATTTACACGCCTTCTCCGATGTTTTTCGTTCGTGTTCCCTGTTTTTTTTAGGTTATTCGGAGTTGCAAGTCGTAGCATAACCTGCGCTGTTTGCAACATTCCAATCGGCCCACAGGAGTTGATCATCCGCTCACAGTCGTCCGTGTTCCATTACGTATGCTTCAACTGTCGCCAGTGCAATCGGGCCCTTCAGCCTGGTGATCGATACGCATTGATCGACGGTCAGCCGGTCTGTCACGCGGATTTGCTGAACGTGATGGAACAACGAGAAAATATTTCACTTCCTGGGTTTGAACAGCGCATGAATTCAGGTACAGATTATCAGGCGAAAAGAGGCCTGTCTGAAAAGTGCTCAATTCCCCCCGGATTTTCCAGCAGTCCAATGGCTGAGGGTGAGAGCCCACCCGTAGATTTGTCACATGCAGCAACACTTTCGAATATTGACAGACTCCCGAATCGCATTGCACTTGTTACTGATAGCCCCGAAACCCGGAATTATCCAACTTCCTCGACTACAAGTCCTACAAGACTGCAGTCCCCATGTATATATGATCCGCCAGATACCACTCCAGTCTTAATTTGTGACCAAAAAAGTTGTCATGAGAATCGGCCGGACACTGAGCGCGGAATTATTTCCCACACACCAGTTTCACTATCGACACCGTTAATCTACGGACGCTTCGGTAGTGATGACCCACACCTGGGCTATCTGGCCTCACTAGTTCCCTTCCAAACTCCACCACCGCCATCCTTACACACAGGCCCATGTCCACTCATACATGTTCCACCTGCATCCTCTCCAACCCAACCACTGATAAAGATTTGCCACCCCCCAAACACCGACCTTGGCACTTCTAGTCCAACTGGGCTTTTGATCCCATCTCGGGGACCTCCCTACAACTTATCTTTTAACTTCCAATCCTTCCTATCCTCACCTCCAAATTCGGAGCTATTCAAAATGATTGATTCCGGAGATCCGTTCAACTACGCGAACGCGTCCAACGCCTCATCCCTACTCCTTCATCAGGTTCAAGGGAAACGCAGTCGAAAGAGAAGAGCTGGTCTGCACCAGACGTTTGGTAAGTGGGTGGATGAGTATTCATAAACGCTACGCAGACTTAACTTCAGTTCAGCACCCCATCACTCGATAGGATGAATAACCAGTCAGAAGAAGGATGAACCTCGCGTTAGGTAATCGATGACACGTGACCAAAAGTCAGCCCACTGAGCGAAGGTGTGGCTAAGCTAACCAAGTAGAAGGCACTTGACGTGAATGCGCAAAGCCTGACAACTTCCTGTGTGTATGGTTGAAGGGTTCTGGAGCAAATCGCAAGATACTACTCAGGACCTGATTCAGGGACTCAGTAACTTGTTTGTCTTGAGCCTTGCGCGGACAAACTATAGACACCACACACGCACACCTGACATCACAGAACTTCGCCCCGAATCCCCCAATCACATCAAACTCAAGGTCATGATGACGAGTGAGTTTAACACAGGGAAGATCATGCTCAAACGACAGCAAAATTTGGCGGATGATCGCTCAGTAGCAAAACTCTTTGCGTCTGACTTTCCCTGCGTTCCGGAGAGAGCACGAGAGTCTCAGTACTGTCTAGGCAGGGCTAACCGAGGAGTTAGGATCAGTAATTTGGCACCTTCATCGCCCGATTATATCACGTTCTCTCGCGAATGAAGGGTTGTTCCAACACACAATTGGACCATTCCATGGTGTTCATATCATGACTGTATAATTTTCAGTTACCTTATTCTGACACACTACCTACAAAGATTGGCCACTCATACTGTTGAATCTTGGTGAAACTACTCTGTACTTCAAAAGGATTAGGCGGAATATGGACTATGGTTGTTGAACAAAACGGTACAGTTGTTCCCCTGTCGAATATAAACTCGCTGAAGGGGACGAACTTCAAATAGTCCCCTTCTGATGTATTCTCCCGTATCCGTGTTCGATGAAGTGGTGAACAATGTGTATACCTGGACCGCTGGTCCGGCATCGTTTTTCATCCTGGCCTTAAATTGAGGTAAACCTAGCTATTATTTTCATCTCTAAATGCTTTAGAGAAATTTGGAGTCCTGTATATAATTTTATGCAACCTTCTCTATCGTAAGGTGAGCTTGAAAACACTGCTTACGTTGATCACATTTCGACTAGTTGTTTTAGAGTTGGCTCCAACCATGCCACGTTCTGACTTGACCTACTAACTTGTCTGTCAGTATGTCTTCGTATTTCGAAGTCTTTGAGAGTGTAAGAATACTGCTCAAGAAGACATCGGCACCACGGACTTCCCCCAGGAGGTCACCACTTTTGGCAATCGGAATGATCTCATAATCTTGCAGATGTGAGAAAGACGAATTGACCTTCAATGTTGCCGAGTTGTTGTGACATCAGCAAAAGATAGCATTTCATTAAGACAGCCTTGTGGTTAGCTGTGATTTGTCGAGACCCTGGATTATCGATCAGCCGAATGACGATCAAACAAACAAAATAGGGAACCATTGATAAATAGCAACGATAGTTACTACTAATGCTTTGATTGGTGTTGCCTAGAAGCAACTTGCCCGAATCTCTTCTATTCAGAAGACATCGAACCGAGGCGCTTCGACCATCTTTGAGTTTCGAAGCTTCCATCGAGGCGAGTATCTTTAAGACAGCCAGCATTTTTCCTACCTTGACAGGATACTACTCATAAGGTTGATGAAAACCTTGGACAGAAGACCACTAGTTTCAGTCATCATCAGGTTGGCTTAGTCCCCCGAAAATCCATCATTTTCGCGTCCTAACTGAACAAGTGTTCATTTGTAGCGATGACCATTCATCTGGCATTTAACTTATCAAAGTGGAAACTCGTATTCAACCGATTCTATCGTTCGCTTTGTTATATAACCAGCATTGTAAAATTTTGTGTTCATTTCTACCATTTCTACTCGGTGGGTTCCATACAGCGTTTTCATCGATTTTATGAGGAGTATCACACAAATTGAATTACTTCCCAGCTGCCGTTAGACAGCGTGAATTAAACTCATCTCGGACGTTGTAAATCAATATTCACAAGCCTCCCTTGCTTCACCCTCATCCATTTCCCCGCGTTCGGAAAACTTGTGTGAATGTACGTTTCGGATGACGGGGGAAACTCCTCTGTAGATAATGTGTGCCTGAACAACCCACCTGGCTATTGTATCGGCATGTCTACGCGTCAGAAACGCATGCGGACATCATTCAAACACCACCAGCTCCGAGCGATGAAGGCCTATTTCAACATGAACCACAATCCAGATGTGAAGGACCTCAAAGTGTTGACAGAGAAAACAGGTCTCTCCAAACGTGTATTGCAGGTGAGTCGGATTTTGTTGGGGTGTGCAGTGTGCGTGTGTAAGACGGCATTCGCATATGCGTTGCTGCCGACACATCAGCGTGTTTTTCATTGATCAAGCTTGGATGAACTTGTTTGGCAACAAATCCAACAAAGAAACTATTCTGCCAAGTACATTTTAAGCTGCGCCGAACCAGATGTGTATGATAGTCAACTGGCCAATTACGGCTGTTTGTTCTGGCACGTGACTGAACAAGTCTGCCGATCGATCGATGAAAGGGCGAACTCTCCCGCCACTTGTGATTCAAAGGTTTTTCAGTGCCATACTGAATGGAGGTTGAAACGGCTGTAGAATCCTCCTCAGCTTTTCAACATGGCTTGACTTCGGTCAGCCGGGTGAAACCCACAGCAAAAGCCTTAGAATTTTGTAGTTACTCACTAATTATAAGTAATATATGAGAAAAGAAAAGCGAACGAAAGGGGTGGATGTCCTAGTGATAGGTCGTTTCTATGACACCCAGCGAATAAGGGGGCCACTCACTGAGTTGTGCACGGATGCAAAGTTTATAAAAATCCGATCAAATGTGCATACCTTTCTTGCCAAATATTGCACCCGTTAGTCTTTCGCCATAGTGCCTCTAGATGATGCTATGCGGCGTTTATTTGATGTAAATTTGCAGGACAGATTCAAGACCCGACCTTGAGAATAATCTTACCAAGACTGGGACACAGCTGTCCTAAAAAACAAACCTCTCGAAAAGTCACCTCGGTGCACTGCCACCCCGCTCCTTGTACAGCGAATCTGACTAGAATTTTTTGTTACAAGAAAAAACACAAATAATTTGCTAACGAAATGATACGTTTCATGAGTCCCCCTTGCCTTGCATCCGGGAAGCCGTCCCTCGAGCGGCCAGCCAACAGGTGAACACGTGATTTGGATTGTAGGACTGGCTCTGGAAGCCACTCGTTGTAGAACAACGGCACAGTTTTCAACCCGTAGCAAGCAGATTGCTGGTTCTACTCTTTCTAGACAGCTAGGAAATTTGGATACTGCTGGTGACTTTAAAAAAAAACAGCTTTACCATACCTTTGGTTTTTGTTTTTGGCACACTCAGTACACCTGCCAGGTGGAATTTCGAATTAAAAACCTCCTGCGAAGAACCGCTGAGATGGTGTTTGTTAACCATCGCCCAGGGACTTGCGCATCAGGCTACATCATGCGTTGTATTGGTGTGGGGCTTTAAGCTTTGGGATGTTCGACCAGCGGGGCTGGGAAGCCTTTAGGTGTTCGACAACCGTTGTCTCAGAACCATATCTCGTGTGAGTTGGTGACGGTGAATCCGTCACGGAGACTGCCTCCCGCAGGTGGCGATGTATTGCGCACGCCGAGCCATCATTTGCTGAGGAGCGCTGTTTCCATGCTCCATTCAGCGTTGGAAGCTGGGAGTTGGGCAACCTCCAACATGGTAGAAGAGTATGGAAACGATCACGAAAGTCTGGATGCCGTCGGTGCGGACTCAGCAAACAGTTTTTTCTAGTTACTGAGATGGAGTATAACTTCCGATCAGGAATCTGGGTTCCCCTAAACTACCCCAACTGGCATCAACAATAGTTTGTACCCAAAAATATCCCGCAAGCTTAGTGTGTACAATTCGATATTCACTACTCATAAGGTTGCTGGAAATTCTTCGACAGCCCACTACCGGCTTCGCCCTTCTTGGAACTCATCAGGTAGGGGCAATCTCCGAGTTTCCGCCAAACTTCTGTTCTGCTTGAACCCCTATTGCGTACAAGTCTTTGAATGGGTGATTAATAATCCATGCTTAAGCTACTTGCTATTTGTAAGTAGTGAGCTATACATGTACATCGTTGCGGAGACAAGGTATCAACAGCTTTTTAATGCATGCCCATTACTTCATGGGATCCATTTTATGGTAGAAGAGTATGGAAACGATCACGAAAGTCTGGATGCCGTCGGTGCGGACTCAGCAAACAGTTTTTTCTAGTTACTGAGATGGAGTATAACTTCCGATCAGGAATCTGGGTTCCCCTAAACTACCCCAACTGGCATCAACAATAGTTTGTACCCAAAAATATCCCGCAAGCTTAGTGTGTACAATTCGATATTCACTACTCATAAGGTTGCTGGAAATTCTTCGACAGCCCACTACCGGCTTCGCCCTTCTTGGAACTCATCAGGTAGGGGCAATCTCCGAGTTTCCGCCAAACTTCTGTTCTGCTTGAACCCCTATTGCGTACAAGTCTTTGAATGGGTGATTAATAATCCATGCTTAAGCTACTTGCTATTTGTAAGTAATGATCTATACATGTACATCGTTGCGAAGAGAAGGTATCGACAGCTTTTTATGCGTGCCCATTACTTCATGGGATTCATTTTTTCCCCTTACATCACTGATAGGTGTGGTTTCAGAATGCACGAGCCAAATATCGTCGAAGTCTCCTTTTACGACCCGATGCAGTCCCCTCAGGCACCACACAAGCTCAATCAAACGGGCTCACTCCCTCTGCAGGCAGCCTATCGGAATCAAGTAACCCCACAGCACTACACCCATCCATGTCGGACTGCGAGAGTAAGTCCTCTCACCTTGATCCAGTGGGAACAGAAAGTCCAAGTTCCTCGACCGAACGTAACCTGTACAAACTTGAAGATGGCCTTTCGGATGATATCGATCCAACCAAGGTACACAGTCTACGTGAACTAAGTCTCCTGGAACGTATGAAGACCGAACAGCCGGGTGTCTATGGGCTGTCCTCTTGTTTCCATTCAACTAGTCCACCATGTTCGCGGCCAAACTCGGTCAAAGCTTTTGGCCTAAGTTTTGTAAATCTAACCGCTTCCAATGATGGGCACTTTTCTCCCATGGGTTGTAAAGGATTGGTTGACTTCTGTTCCCTCAACGGACTTCATTCATAACATACCACACCACATCGCCGTCCAATCGAATTTTGTTCACAGAGAGCTCAAATGGTTCCGAGCTTCACGAATCATCATATCCCAAAGCTTTTTTGAGCCGACTGTGCAATTATTTTGACCGGCCAAACACCATTTTGAATAAAACAAAAAGGCTTGTTGTCTTTTGAATGCAATATAAGTTAGTATTTTAGAGAAGTGAAAACACATTTATGTTCGAATGGAATGGAACGAGGGATACCAATCACGTCCAAAACTTTTAGTCCACCTTGCAAAGCGCAGTTTTAACATCTTTGAAATCGCCGTGGTGGGAATTTCAAAAACGGCCTGGATTATGCGGATGAGTGAACAAAGAATATCCATTGCATGGACGCAACACACTACTCATAGGGTTGCTGAATAAATTTCGACAGCCCACGACCAGTTTTGCCCCTCTTAGGGCTAATCGTAGTCCGCGAGATGGCTTAATGGTTAGAGCGCGAATTTACTGATCGGAAGGTCCGTGGTTCAAACCCGACCTCCATATCTAGACGTCCCCTGTCTAGGCTTGGGCGACTTGGCAGTGTTCGGGTGGCCTGGCAGCTAGGCACCGAAATGGTGTTACAGCTGAACGATCAGCTTAGTTTCAGACAGGTTTTAACAAACTTGTGAGTAGTATGTTGGGCCCAGACAACAACATATTGCGACATCTCGAAGGTCGTATCAGCTGAAACATGGGGCAGCTTGTTGAATCACCTTCAGTTGATGGATAACATCACAAACGAGGAATTCGGCTAGTTTCCAGGTGAGTTTCTCACGTCACGAAAACCAAATTGGTAGGTCAATGAGTGTATTTGTCGAACTTTACTGGCATTGTGTAATTTTTACCGCTCGGAAACTGTGAATGCGAGTCAAATGGAAGACCACATTATCTCCTTCGAAACCCCCCCCCCCAATTAAAATTCACCGGTACGTAAAAGAGTTTATGCGAATCGCTGTCATATTTGATGCGAATAGTGACGCGGAATAGTTGGGGCGGCCCAAACAGTCCATGTGGCAGTCGGACTGCAGGAAACGGAGCGAGGTTCCGGGGTCACGGAAAGGAACAAAGAATGAACTGTGATATGCAACTTAAAGCAGAGAGCTAAGAGTCGACTAGATGTCTGACAGCTATTCGCTCTAAAGCCACCCAAGACAGAAAAAAACACCGTGAAGAGTAAACCTTTCTGATTTTGCGACGAAAGAGAAGCAAGATTGGCAGATCAATAAATCAATCACCAGTGTGAAAGAGTGAGTGTACGAAGTTCTGGGCGAACACATTGGTGGGCCTCGGGGATTGGTAACAGTATCGCCTTTTGTGAATAGTTCTTGGTGTCGACGGATAGGAAGCCTGAGGAATGGGCTAAAGACAGTCAATGGAGCCGATGAGATCACCCAGTAATTGGATCATATTGAGTTGAAGTTTTGCAGTGCCGCTTAACTAAGTGTAGGTCAAGCAACCTCAAGTAGAACATAAGATTAACGGTTACTAGGGGACTGCATCTACTGGGTGAGCTCCAAGAGGGGTGGAACAGGTCTCATATCCAAGTTCCTCTCTCCTGAGTCGGATAAAACGTGGAGAGCTTCAATAACACCCCCTTCCCGGATAGATAAGCCAGTCAAACGCCCACCCTTAATTTCGTTCATCTAGCCGATCGGATCCGATCAGGTCAGAGATACTCGCAACAAAGCGTTAAACGTATCTCGCCGGCGTATAGATCAAAGCCAAACCCTAACTTCGCAAATCTTTTCATCTTGTGACTACTCACCAGTAGTCAAAAGCGAACGTAGAAACTTAAAGGTTCACATGCATTGGAGAACCCATTACTACAGCAAATATCCCCTGTGATGCGACTGCTGTACCGAATGAATGACGTGAACGCTAGCTTGGGAGGCTCAGACCGAGAACTAAGCTGAGGAAAATACCGTTACTATAATTGGCGACGGGGATGGGATTCGAACCCACGCGGGGAAACCCCAATGGATTAGCAGTCCATCGCCTTAACCACTCGGCCACCCCGTCTGGCGGCGGATGCATACTTAAGTTTTCTGAAGCAAAATCTTACTGATTTATTTCACCATGATTTGCTAGTTTACATTTCTAGTGAATTACTGGCGAGTCCTCATCCGGTGCTAACAACGAAGTGAATATGAACCTATCTTTCTAGTATGCGAGTAATTCACTATCTGACCACAAGCCCCCCTGTGTTACCGAGCTGAAATTTGTCACCTCACTGCTTAAATTCAAACTTCTGCCGCAACATCAGCGATTTGAGCAAGCTATTAACGCAACTCCAATCGCGATTATGTTGATTTCCTATATCATTTACACACAGCAAGTCCGAGGCGCAGCTGTCATCAGTGTACTCAGATCTTGATGTGGAGTAGTTGAGTTTCTCACACGATCCCACGCGCATATTCTAAAAGCAACACCGGACGGCCCATTTCTAGATAGTCTACAATCGTGATGCGACTCACTCCTGTGAATATCCTGTAAATCTTTGGCTTACTCCAAGTTGGTCCTAACGGGACGGTCAAGGCTGAGAATTTGAGAGACAGATGTACCCTCATTGTTACCGATCTAGTTAAAAAACCGAATGAGGTTAGGACAGAAGCAACATCAAGCCGGGCGCAAGTTCGCTCATGTTCACTGCAAACTGCCACCCAAAACTGAACTCTGTGGGTACCGAAAGCTAATACCGACCTCGACTAGAATTGGGATAAACCGATCTGTCACGGTGGCCGTGGTATGAAGGCTCACGGATACCCGATATATCAGTTATATAGGCTAATTCCACCTACCAACCTTTCAACACTGGGGCCAGATACTTCTAAAAACAGACAGTAGACGACAATACCATTTGAGCAACTTTATTCCCCATTAAAATGCAGAATAGATATACTCTTAAAATTTTTCAACAGCTGTCTTGCGGACTACGGCCTTGTCTGGTACTACACTGTTATCCTTCCTTCTTACCAAAATCACAGTGGACGGAGGTAGGCCATTCATAAAGATGGATTCACGATAGTTCAGAACCACACCTCCCTTTAGCTCAGTTATTTATAGGTATTTCTACGCCAGCAAAATCAGTGTAGACCAGGGTAGCTTCTGGGCCAATCACATAGTTGCAAGACTAGAGTTTGCGTGGTCATTTACATGGTTGGGGGGTAATTTTCTCACATATTTGTTCAGCCGCCTGAAGGCATTAAGTTTGTCAGTACCAGAACTAAGTTCACGAGTGTGCATTCGTGTGCCACACTAATGGATCAATTTTAGTCAACCGGCAAATACACCACTGAGGCTGTTTATTTTGCAATTATGCTCTTGCAGACACTTCGGCGTGCCGTGATAGCTCAGCAGGGAGAGCGTTAGACTGAAGATCTAAATGTCCCCGGTTCGATCCCGGGTCGCGGCATCGCTTTTCGGCACAAACATCGCGTCTCAAAGTACATTCAACAAGGAATTCTATATGACGAACAGGATAGAATGCTCAGCTTTTGGTTTATGTACCGGAGTTCCTCGTTGAGAAAGAACGAACCTATTACACTGAGGTGCAGTACTATCCATGGGTTCGCCCAAATTTATGACGTGGCCACGAGCGATCACCATCGACATTTACCTAAAGCCGTAAGTCGAGCTCCAGCTAGTTCAGTACAGCTCGATGTAACTCATAGTTAAGACGTCAACCTACTGACCGGAAGGTCCGTGGTTCGAACCGAACCTCTAGACATCTCGACTTCCCTTATCTATGTTTGCGTAAACTGGTAGTATCCCAGCCCTCATTCCTCCTTCGGGTATAGAAACGGCCTTACAGCCGATCGATTAGTATTTTGTTATTACACCACAAATGAGCGCTTACTGGAATACGTTTACTGCTTTTTTTCAAAATCTGTCTCCCCCCAAAAGTCAGTACAGTCCCAGCTACCCATACAAAACTCGGGGTCACCCCATTTGTTCAATTTTCTGTGAACACGGTCAAAAACAACTCGAAACGCACCTAGACGCTGGAAGATGATTAAGACGTATGGCACCATTTGGCCAGGAACTTTGGTGTGTAACAAGCTGATTTCTTGTACCAAAGCGGAGATGCACCGACGCACGCACATCGCTCAAGGCCTGCAACCGGGTCAGGATGAAGACACTCTGGGAGGCAGCAGCATATGGATCCAGCTGTTGCGCTTTTCTACCAGCCACCAAGGATTTGTGGGGGTGCATTCCCCCCCCCCAGTGCTTGTGCATCGATGTTCACGTACGAAATGACGTAAACCGCGTATTTTAAAAATGCACCGGAGGCTACCAGCAGGAGTACTGGCAGCCGCCAGTACATACTAAGCTTTGTCTGCGTGATAAGTCAACTAAAGGATGAGTAATTGTAACAAATCTCCAAGCAGCTTCTAGAGATCATCCCCATCGGAGCTGACCAGTTTTCATTTGAAACTGTTAAATCTGAGAAGAACCGCCTTCTGTCTAATACTCTTGGTCTTTCAACGAGCAATGGATCATCATTCTGGCTTTTGAAAGAGAAGCGTGGAAAGTCGGTGCACCGGCTGGTCATCATCATCATCATCATCATCATCATCATCATCATCATCATCATCATCATCATCATCATCATCATCATCA